TAAATAAATAAAGAATTCCATTTCTTATTTCTCGTGTTGTAATAATAACAATGATGATGCGTATATATGGCACATGAGACTAGAGCACATAAATCGTAGAAGGATGGAGAGATTAAAGAGAGAAATTATTAAATTATCTAATGGAGACTTAACCTAGAGTCCGTGAATCATGTGTTCAAGGAAAGTTGGTTAAGAAATTCTTTGCAAAAGCTCAGAGAGCTACTAACAAATTAGAAGTTGGCCACAGTGATATTTGTGGACCTATGAATGTGGCCACTAAGAGCAGCACGAAGTACTTTATCACTTTTATTGATGATCACTCCCAATTTGGTCATGTCTATCGATTAAGCGAAAAGTCTGAAATCCTAGACCGTTGCAAAGAGTATTAAGACTGAGTTAGAAACCCAAACAAAACAAAAAATTAAAGTCCTTAGATTTGATAGGGGTGGAGAATATTCCTTACAAATGGCATTATACATCAGTAAACTATGTCGTATACTCACTCAGAAAAATGGGGTAGTTGAGAGATGGAATAAGACCTTGATGGAAATTGTGAGGAGCATGATGGGACATGCTAAACTCTCCCTAGAGTTTTGGGGGGAAGCAGTTTTGACAGCTAGCTATATCCTTAATCAAATTCCCACTAAAGTTGTCCAACTAACCCCTGACAAGATTTTCACTGGTCGTGCTCTGTCCTATGCTAAACTTAGAGTGTGAAGATGCTCTAATCATGTCCTAATACCCCATCAAAATAGGACAAAATTAGATCCTAAGACTGTTAAGTCCATTTTCATAAGATACTCAGCACATGGTAAGGGATACCGTTGCTATAATCCTCACACATCGGCTGTCCTTGACAATAAGGATGCCCATTTCCTTAAGGAAAAGTTCCTCGAGAATCGTGCGACTCAAAAACATGTCGAGTTTTATGAGATACAGAGTGACACGAGTCAGGCCTTAGATCCCGAACCACCTCATCCTAGGAGAAGTAATTGAATTAGAAGAAAACCTGACTTCTTCACCTATCTAGCAGAATATTATGAGAGAATTGAAGAATAATCCCTACATGAACCTTGTTCCTACCAAGAAGCCATAACTTGTCACGAAAAAGCACAATGGGAAGAAGGCATGATTGATGAACTTAACTCAACCAAACAAAATAGTATTTGAGAACAGTGATAGTAATCCTGAGAGAAAACCCATAGGCTGCAAGTAGATTTATAAAAAGAAATTGAACTCAAAAGGGAAGTTGGAGAAATACAAAGCCAAATTAGTTGCTAAAGGGTTTACCCAAAAAGAGGGAAGAGATTATGATTAGACCTTCTCCCCTATAGCAAAATTCCCCTCCATTAAAATCCTTATAGCCATAGAAGTCCATTTCGCCTTCGAAATACACCAAATGCTGCATTTTTTAATGGGGAGCTAGAAGAAGAAATTTATATGAAGCAACCAGAGGGCTTCCTTAAAAAAAAAAAAAACCTAGTGTGTAAACTCAATAAGCCCCTTTATGGCCTTAAACAGGCATCAAGGCATACATTAAGTTTCACGAGACCTTGTCATCAGCTGGTTTTTTGCCAAACCAAAAGGATTATTGTATATATGTCAAGGTCAATGGGAGTGACGTTGTTTTCATTTCTCTATATATGGATGACAAGTTAATAGCCAGTAGTTCGATGAGTCTCGTATTGGAGATAAAAGCTTTCTTGTCATAGCATTTGATATGAAGAAACTTGGAGAAGCATCATATGTTTTGGGAATCAAAATCACCTGAAACAGAAAATAGAAAACTAGTAAATTATCTCAAGAAACACATTGTAAGAAAATTCTTGAAAAAATTAAAATGGAAAATTGTCAGCTCATATTAACCCCCATTGACAAGAAGAACAAGCTTAGCCTAGCCATGTGTTCCACTACCCCAGAAGAAAAGGAAGCCATGCAGAGAATTGCATACAGAAGTGCAGTTGGGTCACTGATGTATGTTATCTATGGGACAAGACCAGATTTATCTTTTGTTATGAGTTTGATAAGCAGGTTTTAGAGTAATCCGAGCATGGAGCACTGGAAGGCAATATTTGAAGGGAACAGTTAGTTATGCACTCACTCATGGAGGAGACTCGGATATATAGATACAAGGATATTCAAATGCGGAGTATCAGGGCAATATGGATGAGATGAAGTCCACATCCATATATCATCACGCTGGCAGGTGGAGCAGTTTCTTGGTGCTCAAAGAAACAGGATATTATTGCACTCTCGACTATGGAGTCAGAGTATGTGGCATGCTACCACAAGTAGTCAGAGTATGTGGCATATTGCCTCACAGCTAAAGTAGCAGTCTAGTTGAAGAATTTATGGAAAACAACATGTACCCATGACAGCCGCATTACTGGAAAATCTATGAAGGGACACATGTACATGTACATAAAAAAAGCCCCCTCTGCATGTACTAATAAAAATTAGACTTGCTCCAAATGGGGTGACTATAATCCACATCCAAGATCAAGGTTCCACTGTTTATTGTCCAATATTGACAAGCCAATCATGAGTTCCTACATTGAGATTGTGGGTCATGAGTCATTGTTGGGTTGGATAAGAAAAAAGTAGTGGATCATGGTTCTTGGGTCAAGTGGAGTGCCCTTATATTTGCTAACTTTGACCCATTAGTACCAGTCCACTTCTAAAATATTTTATGTTGGTAATAGAAATGTTTTTATGATTTTTACATATTTTTTCAGGATTTAAAATTTTTTATGTTGTAAATTTATTAAAAAGAGGATTTCTGAAATTTTCAGAACTTGGAAAGACACATGTGGAGACCAAGGATTTGGCACCAACATGTGTGCGTCAACCATGTCTGGGACGTGTGGCCTTGAGGGGGGCACACAAAGTCCCTAGGGTGGCACGGCCCATTTATTTTTGTTTATTTGCCACTTTTAATTAATAGTCTTAGTTAGTTAGAAATCTTTTTAAAATTAAAAAATATATAATTCCTATTTAAATGAGAGCTATTTTTCAAAAATATTGTTTTAATTAGTAGTTTGGTTTGACCAAAACTCTAATTATTTGACTTTCTACATATTCTGGAAAGATATTAGGAAGGTTTGAATTATAATTCTAATTTAAATAGAAGTTGGCCTTGGCTCAAATTATAAGGGGATAAGCTTCCCAATTATCCTCCCAAAATCATAATGCTTGATTTGTGAGATGGATGGCACAAATTTGCTATCTTTCACCCCACAGATTTCCTAAGTTCCTATTGGTCAAATTGTCATTAGATAGGCATTACGGATTCTAATCCAAATTGGAGAAGGAATTTTTTCTATTTAAACGCCATTGAGCCCTTTCTCTCAACAAACATTTTTCTTTTCTTTTTTTTTTTTGAAAAGCAAAAAAAAAAAATTGAACTTGATGTTTATTGATAACACTCTTACAACCATCCATTTCGAAATTTAAGGGACAATCACCCATCCCTCAACAAACGTATTTCTCTCTCCATGCACCAAATCTCTGTCTTTCATTAAAAAATTCCTTTTTCTCTCCCCCCCTTCTGAAAGGGGTCATGCCACCCAAAATTTGATAAGACAATAGTGGGCACATTGATTTTGCTATTAGGAGAAGAAAAGGGTACCTCTAGCCAAAGGACGATTCTATGTCTTCAAACCAACCACAATTTGATCCTAGGGTTTCCCACAAATCCTAGTTAGGTTTCCATGCTCTTTAAAACGCTAGAGTAATGGCTATTGCCTATGAAAGCTTCCTATCTCTAAAATTCTAGCAACATCAAAAGGGACAAAAGGTGTGCCACCGGTTAGGTAAGACCTGTGAAGGTAACTCCAAACAACATCTAACTTCCTAGTTGATTTAATTATTTTTCAGTCATATTTTATATTTTTCTGTGAATTTCCAAGAACTTATTTTGTACTCAAAACTATAGTGGAAGATTGGTTATTGCTCCTGGATGGTTTTTATTTGCTTTGGCAGCAAAGGTATAGATCCTAGATTGTGTTTGAGATTTTAATTTTTATTTACAATAGTGCTTAGTGGCCCATATAAGTGGAATTCAGTTATATCGCCAGAAAAATTATTGAATTCACTACCTGGAGTTCCTCATAGCCACTTCTTTCATTCTCTAATCGTTGCAACAGCTGGTCTCACCGATGCCTCCTTGAACTCAGCAATCTAGGACTGGAAAGTCTTCTCTCAAACTCTCCATAGCTCGATTTATGCTCCCTTTGATTTGATGATTCACAATATCCACTATTTGTGGCAGCATATCCCCCTTGATCATAGGAGTGGACTTTGGCAGCGTGGATGGATCTTCTGAAGCGTTGATAGCACATAAAGAAGCAGAAAGGGGGAAAGCAGACAAACAAAACAATAAAGAAAAAATTATTGAGAGGTTACTCTTTCTCTCATGGTCTAAAAGGGAATCCACCCCCAAACGAGTCTCTTCACGAGTCCCAAACGAAAATCCTATGTTCTTCATTGTCCAACACTCACATATTTATAGAAAAAGCTCCTAAAAATATACTTGCTCCATAAGAAACCGTAATCACCATTGAACCCGAGTACTTCATCTTCTCAAAATTCACCTTTCCACATTGTAGCAACTGAAAGATACAAGACCCTAAGAAAACCAAAACACTAAAAAACCAAATTATCCTAATTTCAGTCTCTTAAATATATATAACGAAATAAGAAAATAAAAACCTAACTGCATCATCATTGTCTTCTTTTTTTACATTAGGCTTCTTCTTTGTTCAATTGGACACTCTTATGGTAATGTGCTTTGACAGATCTCCCTTGAGGAAGTCTTGATATATTTGATTCTCTATTGACCAAATTAGAGACACAGGGATTAACTACGGATGAATAAGCATTCTTGATAGTGTGCCCTTTGTGACATTCAAAAGCATATGAGGACAAACAGAAAAACTGTCAGCAATGTCATAGCATACAAAAAGAGTATAAATTGATGGTCATAGACCTTTGTATATTACCTTTGCTATGGGGCTCTATAAGGAGTTCTGACCAGTTAGCTTCTTCATTCGTACCATCAACTTTTAAAACGGATTTGAATTCTTCAATTGCAATGTCAACTTGAGATTCACCCCATAGTTTGGACACAATTGTCTTTGCATCATTCACTCTTCCAACCTAAACCTCATAGAAGTGGCAAACAGATAATAATCTCATGAATTTGAAGTATAGTAGGATTTTTTATCAAATCATAAAGACAAAGGAGCCTTAAAATCCAACATAAATGATTTGGAAATGGTAACCTACTTTAAATAACCAGCGGGGACTCTCAACAGCAAATTGCATTCCAACTATGAGAGTAAAACCTGGGAGACAAGCAATGTACAGCAACATTCTCCACCTGTTAATCAAAGAGTGTGCACGTTTATTCTCAAGTTTGTGCTGAGAAAATGTCCCTCTGTAAAATTATATATAACACATACGTACGTGCACATGCACACACACAGAGGAAGCAGTCGAGCTGCATGCACACACACATGGGAAGCAGCCAAGCTTTATAATGGTTTATACCCAAAGAGTGATGATATTTCGTGCATCAAATACTAGGGTAAGAGAAAATAAAGATGACAACCATAGAGGTATGGCTAATATTGCTCTATTAAAATTTAGAGAAATTTGTGCCCATACACGACTAAATATATATTATTATAGTTGTGCCCCTAAAATTTTGCATTTTACATTCAGACCCCTTTTTCTTTTCCTTCCAAAGTGCCCCACTTCGCATGTTGAAGATTTGAAGTGACAACATCAAATTGAAGTCATGAAGAATTTTTTTACTCTAACTTTGGACCTTCAAGATCGGAAGTGAACTTCGGATTTGACTTTGGACCTAGAAGTTTCGAAGTCAAGACTTGACTTCAAGTCTTGAAGATCCGAAGACAAGAATTTGATGACCACTTTAGAACTTCAAGGTCTCAAATCCAAACTTTTGTGTTTTATGTCCCGAGTTTGGAACTTTAAAAAGTCTTGACTTCGAAACCTCAAGGTCCAAAGTCAAAAATTACGTGACCACTTTAGAACTTCAAGGTTTAAAGTCAAAGACTCTTATGCTTTATATCTTGTGCTTGGACCTTGAAGATCCAAAGGCAAGAATTTGACTTCGGATCTTGAAGATCCAAAGTCAAGAACTTTCTTACCACTTCGACTTTTGGAAAAAATGAAAAATGGAGACAAACTTTTATGTTTTATGTCTTGTCTTTGGACCTTGAAGATCCAAAATCAATAATTTGAAGTCAAGAACTTTCTTACCACTTCGATTTTTTGAAAAAATGAAAAAAGGGGGAGAAATTGGGTATTGAAGTAAAATGCCAAATTTGGGGTTGGAATGAGTGTAAATTCCTTTGGAATTTAAACATCAATTAACTTTGGTGCATGCCAAATACACATTCCAGAAAAGAAAAGCATAAGTGAAGAAGAATACTGGCCTTAGGCATGACAATTAAAGTAACTAAGAACATATTCTTTCTGCTCTCTTTTTTCTTTCTGAGAAATTACTAAGATCATTATTTAGCATTCACACTATTCCATTTTGGTGGAAAACAAGTAACAAACCACATGGTAGTCAAGCAAGACACAGCTAACATTTTGCATCAAGAAACAGAATTCTATATTTATAGTTTGATTTCTTAAAATGTTTCAAGGCACCACAACACAATATAAATTGGTAAATACCGCCATTAGTATCATCCTATATTTGTAGGTTGATTTCTTAAAATGTTTCAAGGCACCACAAAACAATATAAATTGTTAAGTACCGCCATTAGTATCATTTCCACAACAATTACAAATTATACAATTTTTGTCATTCGGATTCGGGTTACGACCATACTTCCAAGCAAGATCACCACTAATAGAAGTACCTAAAGAAGATATTTTCATATAACAAGGCTGCTTTTCTTTTGTTTCTAGTTTTACTAAATTTAAATATTGTCTAATCTCATACCTAATAGCTTCATGAGATTATGAAATCTTCCGTTTCTAAATTTAAATATTGTCTAATCTCCTTTTCTTCCGTTTCTAAAGTGGATTTCACACTTGACGGGGAAATCTTCCTAAGAGATAATGAAAATATTTAGTTGGTTGGAAAATATTCTTCAAGACTTTGAATAAGATCTTCATCTTGACTTAGACTTCCAAAGATATTAGAAGTTTCTATGTGGTTAAGAGTTTATATTTTATGGGACATTGGTAGATCGAGTTCTAATCCAACTAGAAGTGGATATAGGTCAAAGATTCAAGGGATAAGGTTCTCAAATTTTCTTCCTAATCATGATGGTTGTTTCATAAATGGATAGCTCTAATTTGTTTCTCTCTCACCTCACAGATTACCAGGGAGTTCTAGGTCAAACCTAATCCTAATTCAAGTTGGAATACACTAGAGCCTTAAGGCCTATACAAGGCAGGGAGCCCTCCCCACTCACTCTCTACACCCTTGTTTCTCAAACCCAGCCTCATCTTTGTTAAGGGGAGGTGCAACATAGTGTAACACCCAAAAAGATTAAAAGGGGTTTAAAGAAATCCTAGTTCTAGTGGCCCATGCTCTTAACCCCATAGATCAATTAGAGGGTATTCCAAAGGTGCTTTCGAAGTTCAAAGGATTCAACGGGACCTAAAGATCGAGTGCACAATTACATCGGTAATCGGTTGTCCTAAGGGGGTAACCCTAGGCAATCATTGAATAAGTCTTCCAAGTTTTATTTATCAGTTTGATTTTCACTTCTTGTTTCATATTTTTTTTATAAGTCCTAATCGTATTAGGAGTCCTATTTGGATAAAGATTCCTACTTGGACCAAGACCCCTACTTAATTAAGAGTTCCTATTTGTATTATAATTCATATTGTAAATTTTCAGTTTTTTTTAGTTCAAAGTTTTACTTTGGCAATAAGAATTAAAGATCGTAGATTGTCGCAGATTTATTTCTGCAATATATTATGGCAATGGTCAATAAAAATTCTTATTATTAATAAAGAAGAGACAAAATTTTGAATTGACACCATAGAATTCTACATAGCCATACTTTCTTGGTATCAAAGCTAGTCCTTTTACTGGAATTATTTAGGAACTTTTTTTATTTCTTGAGTCAAAAAGATGGAAGCCAAAGGCTTTCTAGCTGAACTTTTGAAGACCAAAAGGTTCGATGGCAAGATCCAAGCAAGCAGGAAAAGAAAGATAAGATATGTCCTCATTGATGAAGGACTTAGTCAGCTGCTCACAGAGAACCCCCACATGAAGCAAGAGACGATGCTTATGAGAAGCAATCAATTAGGGAGAGCATAAATACCCTAGCTAAGTATCTCCTTGTGAAGGTTATGGATGACTCCCACGCTCTCGAGTACAAGACCTTAAAGACTGTAAAACGAATTCATCAGAAACTCTAAAAAGACTATTCTACTCCTTGCTTAACCGGAAAGACTCTTGCAATGAAGCAGTACTCTGACCTAAAGATCAAAGATGGGAAGAAAATTGCCCAATCACATCCAAACTTTCAGAGCACTGATCCAAGAACTTAAGGCTATCCAAATAAAGCCAGAAGAGAACATGCAAGTGCGCTACCTGTTCACCACTCAGCCAAGTTCCTAGGAAGCATTCACCTCAGCCCTCAGTACAAAAGAGAGCACGCCAAAGTTGGACGATATCATTACCAAGCTTAAAGCAAAAGAGGATAGAAGGACAACTGACGATACTCCAATTGCTGGAGAATCCGTGAATCTAGTATATCTAAAATCGAGCTCTAAACCTTTTAAGAAGGACGAAGGAAAGAATTACAAAAAGAGAGAATAAAATGACGCGTGGTATTAAAGCACTATTTACGCTCCATAGATGATAAAGAGTTTGGTTTCGGTCTTTAAATTTGCTAAGGAAGAATACTTCAACCTGTTTACTAGTAATAAGGTGGAATACAGATTGGAATGATTGGTCCTCTTTTAGATGGCTCCTTTTCAGTTGTAATAAAGAACTCAATTTGATATATCTCGCGTTATGATGATGTTGATGATGCATATATCGCATATGAGATTGGGGCATATAAGTTAAAAGAGAATGGAAGAATTAAAGAGAGAAGGATTATTGAAAAACTTAAATGGTGATTTAAGTGAAGTATGTGAATCTTGTGTTCAAGGAAAGTTAGTCAAGAAACCCTTTACCAAAGCTCAGAGAGTTGATAACATTTTCGAGATTATCCATAGCAATATTTGTAGACCTAAGAAGGTAGCCACTAAGGGCCACAAGAAGTACTTTATCACTTTTATAAATGACCACTCCCATTTTGGCTATGTATACCTATTGAGTGAAAAATCAATACATAGACCGTTTCATGTATATAAAGCCGAGGTAGAAACTCAACCAAACTAGGAAATTAAGGTCCTAATAACTGATAGAGGCGGTGGGTTAAAGAGTTTTGTACTAAGCATGGTATAATTCACTAATATACCATGCCATAAACTGCTCAAAAGAATGGGGTAGCCGAGAGATGGAATAAGACCGTCGTGGAAATAGTGAGGAGCATATGGGACATGACATGCTATCCTTAGATTCCTGAGAGGAGGCAGTATTAATGTTGCTTACATTCTTCACCGGATTCCCATGAAAGCTATCACACTAACACCTCATGACATTTTCACTAGTCGTACTCCATCCCTGGACTACCAAAGAATGTGAGGATGCTCAACCCATGTCCTAATACTACACCAAAAATAGGATAAGGTTAGAATCTAAAACGATTAGGAGATCACGGTAAGGGATACCAGTTCTACAACCCAAACACAGGGCTGTCCTATAGACTTTCTTAAGGATGAGTTCCTGAGGGGAATGTCACTCATCAGCAAGCAAAAATGCAGGAGATGATAAGTGGCAAAAGTGAGATGCAAAATCCCACGTCACCATGTCCTAGGCGAAGTAACCGTACAAGGAGAACACCTGATTTTTTCACCATCCAAAGAGCATATTATGAGCAGATTGAAGAAGAATCTCTGCACGAACCTTGTCCCTAGAAGGAATCCATAACCTATCCAAAACAAATTCATTGTGAAGAGGCAATGATTGATAAACTTAACTCAATTAAACAAAACCATATTTGGAACCTAATAGCCCTACTTCAGGATACGAAATCTATAAGATGCAAGTGGATTTGTAAGAAGGAATTGAATCCGGAAGGGAAGGTAGAAAAGTACAAAGTAAGACGGGTAGCCAAGGGATTTACTCAAAAAGAAGGGATAGATTAATGATGGGACCTTATAGCCATAGCAGCCCATTTCAACTTTGAACTCCACTAGGCGGATGTAAAGATAGTTTTTCTTAATGGGGAGTTAGAAGAAGAAATTTATATGAAACAACTATAGGCTTCATAGAGAAGAGAAAGGAAAACCTAATGTATAAGCTTAAGAAATCTCCTTATGGTCTAAAGCTAGCATCGAGGTAGTGGTACATAAAGTTTTAAAGGTCATCAAAAGCTCGCTTTGTGCCTAACTAGGAGGAAAATTTATATATGTCAATCACAGTTGTTGGAAACGCCTAGGAACCCAAATCATTTTAGGAACCGTAATCACGAAATCAAGGCCAGCTAGAAGATTCATGTCTTAGGAATCGTTGTCCGTACAATAGGAATTGCTAGGAACAAGATTCCTAGTTTTTGAGAATTGTGTTTCGATCGAAATAGATCCAAGTTTCATCCACCTATGGAATCGAGATTCCGTCCATGGAATCGGGATTCCCATCCCCCTGGAATCAACACTCCAGGAGTCAAGATTCTTTAATATGCGGAATCGAGTTTCCAACATCTATGAAATCGAGTGTCTGACATATGTGGAACATAGATATGTTGTTGTTTCGAATCGGGATTCTAACATATTTGGAATCAAGTTTTTAAAGTATATAAATCAAAGATTCATGCCAGATTGCAACAATATGGACTATCGAATGCGTTTGACGATCCCTATCAGGAATCAAGATTTCACTTTTATGGAGAAGGAAGCCACAAGCACATCTTGAGCCTCATCAACTTTAGAACCTATATTGGATGTCTCTTATTAGAAGGTTTGTCGAATTTTAAAGTGATTGTGTTGACTATTGAACTTATGGCCATTATATACAAAAGACAAGTATTCCTAAATTGTGATTTTGAATTTATTATTATAAAGACAAAACAGGATTATATCTACGCCATGGTTTTACTTTTAATTGTATGTGTTGTATTTACCAATTATATTTTAAATTTAAAGTAAAGGCCATCCAAGGTGGCACAAGTAAAATAATGAAACCCTACAACCACTAGAAGCATTCGAAGAAAGATTTATACTCCAATTGACATGGAATCAAGATTTAATCCTCGTTAGAATCCAGATTCGATATATTTGGGAACGTCTACACATAATTAATGGGTTCAAGTTTTCAACGATGTGTTGGATCGAGATTCCGAAATTAAGGAATTAAGTTTTTTTCGTTCCAATAAATAGTTTCTAAAGATGTGTTGAAACGAGATTCCGAAATTAAGGAATCGAGTTTCCTTGGTTCCGAAAAAAGTTTTCTAAAGAAGTGTCGAATTGATATTGCGAATTTAAGGAATCGAGTTTACTTGATTCCGAAGAACGGTTTCCGTACAGATTCCTTAATGGAAACACGGAATCGCATTTCATAACCAAAAACGCGAGGTCGGTGGAGAGATTCCAATAATTATGGTGTCGATGTCAATGTCAATGAGAATGATGTTGCATTCATCTCCCTGTACATGGATAACATGCTAATTGCCAAAAGTTCAATGACTCTCGTTTTGGAAATAAAAGCTTTCTTGTCATAGTACTTTGATATTAAAGATTCTGGAGAGGCTTCATATGCTTTGGAAATGAAGATCATGAGATAGAAAGAGAGAACCATTCAGTTATCTCAAGAGACATTGCAAGAAAATACTTGAAAGATTTGAGATGGAAATATTTAGGCCCATATTGACGTCTATTGATAAGAAGACCACGAGCCTAGCCATGTGTTCCACAAACACTTAAGAAAAGGAGGTCATGCAGAGAATCGTATTCAAAAGCAAAGTTGGGACACGGACTCATGCTATGTTAGGGACGAGATTGGAATAATCATTTTCCATCAACATGATTAGCAGGTTCTAAAGTAATTCAGGCACGGAGCACTAGAAACCGATTAAAGAGTTATGTGATATTTGCTTGTTGTGACTTGCTTCCATTAGTGTTGCAGCATCTCTGTTTGGGGGTACGCAATCCTCCAGCACCATTTGGCTAGAAGAATCTTGTTGGACATTTTAATTTGCGCATACCCAAGCCACCCTCCTCAATTGTTCAGCATACTCCATCCCATTTAAGCGATGATGTTTGTGAGCCTCTTAGTAAGAGTTTCACAGGAAACAATTAGATCTTTCCAACCATATTATATGTTTGTGAGCCTCTTTCCAATTAGATCTTTCCAACCATATTATATGTGACATTGAGTGGGGACATAGACATAGGCAGAAACATTACTTACAGAGCCTAAATCACAGTGATTCTCCACTAAGTGATAGGTAACTTTGCCTCCAGAGGGCTAGTTCACTCTGCAATATCTCGAGAACTCCATTCCATAGGTTTTTCTTGGAGGTTACAGCACACAAAGGCCAGCAAAGGTACTTCAATGGCAATCAATCAGAGTCAACCAATGCCTTGTGTGATTTGCAAAACTTAGGCGAGTCTGCTCAGACCTGCCTGAGTCAATCAAGCTCAGACCCTGCTAAGCACGACAACCCTTCTTTTTTCTTTCTTCCCCTCCCCCCAACTCAAGTCGCCCAACTAAATGTAGAAACTTGGCTGATATTTAAGGACTCAGCGAGCTCTTCATGGACTCAGCAGGTCCATCAGAACTTGCGGAGTTCGATAACTTTTCTGAGATATAAAGGAGAGCAGAAATCCGACCCCCCTTTTCTCATATTTTGCCATTGAAGAACCTTTCTGAGCCCAAATTTCATGTGGTTTTTGGAATTTGCACG